CGTGCGTTGGAACGGTGCCGGCTGGAGCCCCGCCCCGGAGCGGCTGTTGCAGGGGGCGCAAAAGGGTTATGGAGGCAGACTCCCAAAAGGGGAATTAGGGCCTCTCGGCGTTGAATGGTTCCTTTCTTATCCAATAGAGTCTCTCCCCAAAGTTCGGTCCTTTCCCGCGGTCCTCCGGCCGTTTCTGCGTTAGGTTTGTGTTTCTCCTGGTGGTGCGCATGCCTCAGTGCATCAAATAAAATTCATTCCGCACATGGGTGGCCAAGCTTGGCGCCGACCCAGTCTGTCGGGGGCCGCCGATCCCCACCCACCTCTTCGGCATGCGAGAAGGCCCTGAACCAGTTTGTGTCTTTATTCCCAGATGGGAAGATCCCCTCTCTGCCCCGTCACCCTCTCCATGGGATGAGGATGTTTTTTTGTTTTTATATTGAGTTTCCCAGGTTACTGCAAAGCCTTACATGTGGGGGAAGGCGGAGAGGGGGAGGGGCTTGGCTCCCATGGGGGCGAGATTTTTTCGGGGACTCCCCCTTTTTAAAAAAAAAAAGCGAAAACCTCCTTTTCTTTAAGGAAGAGCATTTTTTTCTGAAAAAAGGGGGAGTTTCCAAAAAAACCCATCTACTTTCCCTTTCGAAAGACCCGCTTTTGAAAGTGAGATCAGAAGGAGCTATGCACATTCCCGCAGAATGTGCATAGCCTCTTTCAAAAATAAAGCACCGGCTAGACAAAGCCGAAATCTGGGACTCTGGGGAGTGTGGTTTTTTTGTTTGTTTGGGGTTTTTTTTAGGAGAGCCTATAGAGTTTTTAAGGCAGTGTCACTTAAACTTTTTAAGACCAAGGAACACCGAACAATCATTTTTTTTATGGGGAACCCCAAGGATTTTTTGTTGAGGAAAAAAAAAGGTCGGGGGGAAGTGGATGGGGAACACGGACCCCAAACAGCCGCTTGCCGCCACCTGCTCCCCCCCCGGGGCCCAGCTGACTGCCCCTTTAAGGGCGGCCATTTTGAATTCTTTAGTTTTCCGTGGCACACCAATGTGCCACGGAACACAGTTTAAGAAACACAGTTTTAAGGTCTTTGTGGGCCACCCGTTTTCTGGACTCCGAGCTGGGAACCGTCCTGGCATGTGCATTGGGGGAAAAAATTAAAGGGAACATCAACACTAACCCAGGGTATGTCTACACTACCCCGCTAGTTCGAACTAGCGGGGTAATGAGTTTTCCGTGGCACACCAATGTGCCACGGAACACAGTTTAAGAAACACAGTTTTAAGGTCTTTGTGGGCCACCCGTTTTCTGGACTCCGAGCTGGGAACCGTCCTGGCATGTGCATTGGGGGAAAAAATTAAAGGGAACATCAACACTAACCCAGGGTATGTCTACACTACCCCGCTAGTTCGAACTAGCGGGGTAATGTATGCATACCGCACTTGCTAATGAAGCCCGGGATACACGGGGGAGAAACCGTACTCGTTCCGGCACTGCGGGAAACACTTCTCCCACCCGTCCTACCTCCTTGGCCATCGGCGGATCCACACGGGGGAGAAACCGTACTCGTTCCGGCACTGCGGGAAACACTTCTCCCACCCGTCCTACCTCCTTGGCCATCGGCGGATCCACACGGGGGAGAAACCGTACTCGTTCCGGCACTGCGGGAAACACTTCTCCCACCCGTCCTACCTCCTTGGCCATCGGCGGATCCACACGGGGGAGAAACCGTACTCGTTCCGGCACTGCGGGAAACACTTCTCCCACCCGTCCTACCTCCTTGGCCATCGGCGGATCCACACGGGGGAGAAACCGTACTCGTTCCGGCACTGCGGGAAACACTTCTCCCACCCGTCCTACCTCCTTGGCCATCGGCGGATCCACACGGGGGAGAAACCGTACTCGTTCCGGCACTGCGGGAAACACTTCTCCCACCCGTCCTACCTCCTTGGCCATCGGCGGATCCACACGGGGGAGAAACCGTACTCGTTCCGGCACTGCGGGAAACACTTCTCCCACCCGTCCTACCTCCTTGGCCATCGGCGGATCCACACGGGGGAGAAACCGTACTCGTTCCGGCACTGCGGGAAACACTTCTCCCACCCGTCCTACCTCCTTGGCCATCGGCGGATCCACACGGGGGAGAAACCGTACTCGTTCCGGCACTGCGGGAAACACTTCTCCCACCCGTCCTACCTCCTTGGCCATCGGCGGATCCACACGGGGGAGAAACCGTACTCGTTCCGGCACTGCGGGAAACACTTCTCCCACCCGTCCTACCTCCTTGGCCATCGGCGGATCCACACGGGGGAGAAACCGTACTCGTTCCGGCACTGCGGGAAACACTTCTCCCACCCGTCCTACCTCCTTGGCCATCGGCGGATCCACACGGGGGAGAAACCGTACTCGTTCCGGCACTGCGGGAAACACTTCTCCCACCCGTCCTACCTCCTTGGCCATCGGCGGATCCACACGGGGGAGAAACCGTACTCGTTCCGGCACTGCGGGAAACACTTCTCCCACCCGTCCTACCTCCTTGGCCATCGGCGGATCCACACGGGGGAGAAACCGTACTCGTTCCGGCACTGCGGGAAACACTTCTCCCACCCGTCCTACCTCCTTGGCCATCGGCGGATCCACACGGGGGAGAAACCGTACTCGTTCCGGCACTGCGGGAAACACTTCTCCCACCCGTCCTACCTCCTTGGCCATCGGCGGATCCACACGGGGGAGAAACCGTACTCGTTCCGGCACTGCGGGAAACACTTCTCCCACCCGTCCTACCTCCTTGGCCATCGGCGGATCCACACGGGGGAGAAACCGTACTCGTTCCGGCACTGCGGGAAACACTTCTCCCACCCGTCCTACCTCCTTGGCCATCGGCGGATCCACACGGGGGAGAAACCGTACTCGTTCCGGCACTGCGGGAAACACTTCTCCCACCCGTCCTACCTCCTTGGCCATCGGCGGATCCACACGGGGGAGAAACCGTACTCGTTCCGGCACTGCGGGAAACACTTCTCCCACCCGTCCTACCTCCTTGGCCATCGGCGGATCCACACGGGGGAGAAACCGTACTCGTTCCGGCACTGCGGGAAACACTTCTCCCACCCGTCCTACCTCCTTGGCCATCGGCGGATCCACACGGGGGAGAAACCGTACTCGTTCCGGCACTGCGGGAAACACTTCTCCCACCCGTCCTACCTCCTTGGCCATCGGCGGATCCACACGGGGGAGAAACCGTACTCGTTCCGGCACTGCGGGAAACACTTCTCCCACCCGTCCTACCTCCTTGGCCATCGGCGGATCCACACGGGGGAGAAACCGTACTCGTTCCGGCACTGCGGGAAACACTTCTCCCACCCGTCCTACCTCCTTGGCCATCGGCGGATCCACACGGGGGAGAAACCGTACTCGTTCCGGCACTGCGGGAAACACTTCTCCCACCCGTCCTACCTCCTTGGCCATCGGCGGATCCACACGGGGGAGAAACCGTACTCGTTCCGGCACTGCGGGAAACACTTCTCCCACCCGTCCTACCTCCTTGGCCATCGGCGGATCCACACGGGGGAGAAACCGTACTCGTTCCGGCACTGCGGGAAACACTTCTCCCACCCGTCCTACCTCCTTGGCCATCGGCGGATCCACACGGGGGAGAAACCGTACTCATGCCAGCACTGTGGGAAATGCTTTATGCACCGCTCGAACCTGAGTACGCACCAGAGACTCCACACAGGCGCGTGACTTTACACTGCGGAGGACGGCAGGAGCAGTGTCCTGGCCGTGATCGGGCAGTAAAACCGGGACGGGAGACTGAGGATGATGGGTATCTTCCCCAGGAGAGACTATATCTTGCTCGGTTAAGTTCTAGTATTGTAGACCAGTGTTTCTCCACCTTTTT